ACTTCCTTCCTCCCTGCTGCTGTAACCACCCTTGGCCTCCCTCAAACCCTGGCGCGCCGTGGTCCCTGCCACGGCCCCGTCGCAGTCCCGCCAGGGCTGCCACTTCTCCTCCCCTGGGCGGCAGGGGAAGCAGTACTTCCGGGAGGTGGGGGCTGGAGGTGGGCGTCCTAGGAAACTCTGAGGGCCACTAGCTTCTGCCGCAGGGTTTCGGTTCCAGGGGGGTCCCCGGCAGGGTGAGGAGCCCTTGAGCTCAGAGCCCAGCTCCCGTGTAGGTGCTGGCCCACGGTGGGGGCCTCCTTGTCCTGGGTGCGTGCTCTCACACCCTTCCTGGAAACCTCCTGCCCTGTCCACTCCAGCCCCAAGGGTCCCCRCCCCTCCCCTCTGCAGGTTCCTGCAGGGCCCTGGAGAGGGCAGCCCCGGTCCTGCTCAGACCCTGCCTTGTTTGGTCCTGCAAATCCAGCGCTTTCTGGGGAGCTTTGAGTTCCCTCTTCAAGAGCCGGGGGTTCCCTGGCTGACTAGGAGGGCTGGAGGCTCCTCCGGTCCAGCTGCAGTGGGCTGGCATTTCCTGTCACCTCCTCTGCTTCCCCGCTGCCAGGCAGAGGCCGGAAGAGGGTTGGTGGGGGTTCCCTGGGTTTCCTGAGGTGGGTGCAGGGGCAGGAGGGTCTGGGTGTTGTCGGGCATTCCAAGGGGCCTGGGCAGCTTGTGAACTCTGGGTGGTGGAGAAATCTCTTCCCTCTTCACGGGGAGCCTGGGCTGCGAGGTCCAGGCCTGCCTGGGGGGTGGCCAGCTTCTGCAGGCATGCAGCTGCCGGGGACGCCTGGCACCCATGAGTGCCCCTGCTGGTGTCAGGTAGCAGATATGGTGAGAACACTCTTCCTTTCAGTTTTTCTAAATGTCACTTTAGCCCCTGTGCCCAGCCCTGTGCCTAGACCTGTGCTGGGTGCCATGTGTGGGGGCATCCCATCTCCGTGCCAGGTTTTGTGTCTGCCTCTAGACATTAGCATCTTAGAGTCAGTTTTGTACCGAAGGAGGCATCTCCCCGCTGCCTGTCCCACGCAGCTCTCCAGGACTGCAGCGAGGCTGGCCTGTGAGGGCCCTTCCTCAAGTGGGCCCGGGGCCCAGGCCCTGTGACCAGGGCTCGTTTTCCCCTGTCTGTCCAGCCCTGCAGGTTGCTGTGAGCTCCCCGGCCTCGGCTCTTTCCCTGGGTCTCAAGTCACCCGGTTGCTGGAAGTCCTGGAGGGGGCTGGGTGGGCGAGGGGTGTGAGGTTCTGGGGTTGTGGGCCCTCTGGGCATCACAGGTTCTGAGGTTTCAAGATTCTGTGATTTGGCTAGCACCTGTCCTCTGAGGCCCCTCTGCCACCCCTTGCGAGGAGGCTGTGTGTCCCCTGGGTCTGAGGGTGGAGGCCAGTTTAGCCCAGCCCCTGCCTCGCTGGCTTGCAGAGGAGCTGCACCGGGTGAGCTGAACGTGCAGGCGGCTGCTGGGGCCAGGCCCTGGAGTCCAGAGTGTGACTTTTTCAGAATAAAGCCTTATCTTGGCCACAGCTTATCAGGGGTGGGGACAGATAAATGGCCCGGAAAAGGCAGAGCCTGTACACACGTGGAGTGCGGGCGGCAGGCAGGCCAGCAGGACTTCTCTGCACGCAGAGGAAGTTTAGGCATTTTTTGCCCGGTCTCTTCCTGGCCAGAAAGTGTCTCTCTGAAAGGCTCCAGAAAACACACCCAGCCTATTGTCACCCATGCTCCGGGAAGGTGTCTGCAGTGGACATTTTGTGTAAACAGGAAGGCCTGGAGCGGGGGACTCAGGACATGGGGGTATGCCAGCTGGTACCCCTTTGCACTCAGGAGCCCTGGGGTCACCGTCAGCCTGGCTGTGGCCTGATGGACACTCGTCCCTGCATGTTAGGCTGGTGGGCAGGAGAATTCCGCACAGGGAACCCTCTTCTGTGGCTGGAGGCTGGGGCCTCCTGTCCCCGTTGTCTCTCCTTCCTCCCAGGGACCCTCCCTGTACCCTTCCTGGCCAGTTTCCTCCTTTGTCTGGTTGGTGGACCCTCCTCAGTGGWTTCAAACTTGGGCCAGACGTGGGCAGTGGTGGGGGACCAGGGGAGCGTAGGGGTGCATCTGTAGCCAGCAGCCAAATGGGCTCCCTCCTCTCCTTCCCTCCGTCCTGCCATCTGGCCAAAGCAGTCTCCCGCCTCTCCCTCCTCCTTCCTGCCAGGCAGAGCAAGCAAGCTGACGGCCAGCCCGGGAGGCCCAGCAGTGCTGTCCCAGCAGGCCCAGCTGAAACCCCAGCCTCCTCCAGTGGCTCGTGTGGCTGCAGGTGTCTGACCTGGAGTTTGAGGCTGAGTGGTCCCTCCTCCTCCAACTTGCCTTGGTATCTGGGGACAGCTGGCTGAAGAAGGCTGTCCCTGGAGTGGTGTGGCAGCTGACCAGAACCCCTGGTCTCTTCTTTGCTTCTGCCCAGCTCTCCTATTGCTACCTGGAGCAGAGGGTAGGGGTGGAAAAGCTGGGATAATCTGGGAGGGACCTCTCAGAGGCCAGGAGGAAAGTGGGCAGCTTTCCTGGGGGTGGCCAGGACCCAGGGCTGGACCACTCCAGACTGTACCCACAGGGCCTGTCTCTGCCAGAGACGGCTAACCGGGCCCGCTGGTGCAGGGCTGACCGTGAGCTCCTTTCCATTCAGCCTCCTCATAGTCTGTGGGTGCATCTCGTGATTGTGCTGCAATGGGGCCCACCTGGCCTAGGGGCAGCCTGCAGAGTCGGGGCCTGTCTGCATTTCACAGTCGAGGGAACTGAGGTCTGGAGAGGGCAGAGCTGGCTCAGGTGTCCTCATGGGACATTGGAAGGTCAGGGGAGAAGGGGCTGTGATGGGGGCCAGCCTGGTGCATCCCACATGTCCCAGCAATTCCCTGATGGAATGACAGTGGTCACTTGGCCCAGGGCCAGCTACAGTTTGCAGAAAAGTGTGCCGTTGGGCAGTTCTTGTCCCGTGCTCTCTCTGAGGCTCAGTTTACTTGTCACAGGTGGATGGTGGTGGCTTCTCCCACAGGGTCTCAAGAGTTTAGTGACATAAAGCATGGGAGGGCATTTCAGTCCCAGGAGTCTCCTGAGTATGTGTGGYCCCCTTGGTTACACGCTCCTGCCTGCCTTCTGTCACCAGGCCCTGCTTACCCTTCCTGGCCTTCTCTGGGGATGCTCCCTGCACATGGAGGGAGACCTTGGGCTAGGAGTCGTTGGCCCTCCCTGGGGTTCAGCGTCCAGGGGCTTTAATGGCTACTAGGGATGGTCTGCGGTACTCCTAATGGCCAGAAAGTGCTGCTGCCATCTGGTTTCAGAATTCCTTACTTTGGCATTTTTTATGGTCAACAAAATGGTTTGTTCCGGATTTTGTGAATGGCAGAGGTTTCCCGCGGGTCAGAGGGGGTCTATTTGCCGATGGAGTCCATTCCTTGAGTTGGGCAGGGTGCTCTTGGCAGGCAGGCTGACCCTCCCCAYGGAGCCTAGTCTCAGAGTTCCTGGCCAATGCAGGGACCAGGCCCCTCCCTGTGCCCTTCTCCCTGGGAGGCAATGGGGATAAAGTGCCCGTGTGGTTGGGGGGCAGCTGTGGGGGGAGCCTCCTCTAGGAAAGGATCGGTCCTGCAGACAGGGCCTCTGTGYTCCTGGGTGGGGTGGCACAGAGGCTGGGGTCACCCTGAGCTGGCTGRCCACCCAGTACCACTTTGAATGGTTCAGAAGCCTGGGTGGGAGAGAAGGGTTTGGCTGGAGTTGGGTCTGGTCTGAGCGCCAAGTCTGCTGTGGGAACAGTGTGCCGAGGCTGGTGACAGTCCCAGAGACTGCTTAGGGCTTCTTGATGGGCACACTCAGGGACATGGACACTGCCCTGAGGCTGAGGATGTCTTGGGCAGCAGCAGCCTGGCTGGGGTTCTGTCTTGGCAGCTCCTGTGTGCCCGTGCTTCTGGGGGACCGGTCAGAAGTGTACGTGATCCCAGGAAGGCCAGCAGCAAAGGCCTGGGACTCTTCTGCAGTTGGCTAGGCTGGGCCCAGAATGGGAGTCTGCCTTGCCCAGAGCACCCAGCCTGCTGGAGGGTTGGGTAGGGAGCCGCCTCCGGGGGCTTGTGTGCTGTGGGGTTTTGCTGCCTTGTGTGGGCTCCTCCAGGTCTTTTGGATGGCCTGCCAGGCCTGTGGGCAGTGGATTCCCCCTGGGAGCCCCCGGAGCTGGGCGGGGTAGGGAGGCTTAATTAAGTGCTTGATCAGAGCTTTGAAATCCTGCATGAAAGGCTAGCATGTGGGAGGTCCCAACCTTGCCCACTGCATGGGCTGCCGGGCACATGACTGGCACATGTCAGGCCCTCTACAAGACTGTCGCAAAGTTCCCCACCCACATGGGAAATGCTAGCTGCCCCCTTTTCATCAGGTCCTGTTGTGCCTCTGGGGACCAAAAAGAGCCAAACAGCCTCCAGATGATGGAGTCCTGGGTGGCTAAGGTCCTGGTGTCAGGGCCTCCACCGCTGTGGTCCCTGAGGGGCCCAGGAGGTGTGGCCCGGCAGGCATGGCTCAGCCTGAGTGTCTGTCTTGGTTGTGCACTGCACCCGTGAGAACTCGGGGCCTTGCTTCCTCTACCTGTGAGATGGGGCGTCCCTCCTACCTCTACACGCCGGTGCACCGGGACAGACTGGATGCTGGTGTTGGTGGCACCTTTACTCCCACACCTGCACCGCGGTCACCTGGACCCCATGTAGAGGGAAGCACACTGGCTYTCCTGCCCCCGGGCTTCTCCCTCTGCCTCTGGGTGGCAAGCCTGGGCTGCAGAGACTGGAGCGGCCCAGTCCTCGTGCTCTGCCTGCCCCTGCCTTGGGCCAGAGCCTAGGCAGGGAGCTGGGGCACCCCAGCCTGGCCCCACAGGTCCCCCGTGGGCTCTTCCAGCGTCTGTGGGCCCTGGTRGGGGGCAGTGGGTGTGGCCTCAGAGCCGCTCTGACCTGCCCCTRCGGATTCTTGCCTTGCAGACTTCTCCAGCCAGGTGAGCTCCTCGTCCCTCAGCTCCCCGGCCGGCCGAGGCGCCATGGCGGCCCCCTCGCTGCACCCCTCCCTGGGGCCAGGCATCGGCTCCTCGCTGGGCTCCCCTGGGCAGCTGCACTCGCCCATCAGCACCCTGAGCTCCCCCATCAACGGCATGGGCCCGCCCTTCTCGGTCATCAGCTCCCCCATGGGCCCCCACTCCATGTCTGTGCCTACCACGCCCACCCTGGGCTTCGGCACCGGCAGCCCCCAGGTGAGTGTGGGCTGGGCCTGGGGGGCGCGGGCTGGGCAGGGGCTCCCCCAGCAGGGTGTCGGCATCACTGGTGGGCTGTGGGGGCGGGGCTGTCCTTTCCTTCCTCAGACCCAGCCTCAGTGGTGGCTCTCTGGTTGGCCTGGGCCTGGCCCCATGGATGCTGCCAGCTGGGCTTCTTGGTGGCTCTGCCTCCTCAGGGTCAGATCCTACTCCTGGGTCCTTCTCTCCTGGGCTTTCAGCTCACGCCCTGGCCGGTGGTCTCTGTCCCTGGGCCTGCAGGGAGGTGGGTCCAGGCTCAGTGTAGGGATGGGGAACAGTCAGTGCTCAGTGGCCTGGTGGCTGGTGGGTGCTGGTCACAGCAGAGTTGGTGACCTCTCTACAGTTGGGGTCTGCTCAGACGCTCTTCCAGCACTGGCTGGGTTTTGGGTTGTTTGGGGGTTAGGAAGCGCTCTTGCCTGGTGGGGCCCAACACAGACAGGTCTTGCTGTTGGCACCGTGGGGCCTGGTCCAGCCCTTTTCTCCCTCAAGGCCCCAGGGGCCTCTCGGATCCCCTGCTGGACTCCTTGCCCGGGCTGTGTGACTCCTGGTGATTTCCCTCTGGATACCCACTCTTGAAGCAGGCTTCCCTCTGGTGGACCCATCCCTTCTTCCTAGGAGAGGCTGGGGACATGCATTCCTGCTCCGAGTCTCTGGAGGAGCCTGRCTGCCTCCCGCATAGGCCCCGCTCCTGGCCTAGGAGGCCTGGGGTGTGCTTTGTGTGTGGCTAGCCCACTGCCCATCCATCCTCTTGCCCTAGAGACTCTTGCAGTGCTCTTAGGCCAACCCAGCCAGGTCCCTTTGCCCCTGGGGGATGGGTGGAGAAGAGTGGGATCTCTGTCCATGAACATGCTGCTGTCTGTCCCCTCTCATGGCACCTGACCTTCTGGACGCAGGCRGAGGCCCGAGGTGCTGGCCCAGGGAGGCCTGGCTGCCTCCCGTGTCTAGCTGTGTCATTTTGGCGTGGCTGCCCCACACCCTCCTTGCTGGTTGCCTGATGCTCTGCAGCAAGAGAGCAGGTGAAGACTTGGCCTCCGTGGTCCCCTGGTTTCAGTGGCTGACACCTGCTGGCTCGGAGACCCACGAGGTTTCTCACTGGGTTCCCAGGCCTGCTGCCTGCCCTGGACACCCCTGGGCTCGTGCACAGCAGGTGGCTGGGTTCTGAGTCTCCTTGTGTGGCAGAGCCCAGGGCTGTTAGTGCTTCTGGGAGGAGGACGGGGAATGCGAGGCGTCTTAGGGTTTTCTGGGCCACATCTCTCCTGTTTTCTCTGGCGGGTAGTAGGTCCTGGTTGAAGCCAGGTTCCTGTGAGCCAGTGGCCAGGCCCCCGAGGCTGCCTGGGGGGAGGCTGGGTAACAGATCCAGTGTGCCCCCAACATTTGCCCTGCTACTGGATAACTGTCCATCTCTCTGAGGGTCCCTCTGCCAAGCCCACACAGTGGCTACTCTGAGCCTGTGCTTGGCCTCTGACCACCTCTCCTGGCGGGCCTTTGGCTGCCCTGGACACACAACCCTGTGCTCATCAGTAGTCTGTCTTGGGAACCTGCAGTTCCTTGTGTTTCTGGGAGTTTGGGGGGCCATGCCCCCACCTCCACCCACAAAACTACAACTGCAGAGTCATTTGCCAGAGCCCGGGGGATTCTGCCATGTTGGGGAGGACCTGTGTCCTGCCCGGCTCTGCCTGTTCCAGGCAGTGGCTGGGAAGGGCTGTCCACATCATTGGGCCAGGTCATGCCCTCCAGCTCATGGGGAAGGGAGCCTGCTGGTAGGCCAGGTCTGTCTCTCTTGGTCTGGGGGCTCTGTCAAGGAAGGACCCAGCGCCTGTGTGGTTACACCTGACTCCCTAGGGCTGCCTTGAGGCCTGGGCTGAGTGCATCAGGGGGCAGCTTCCTGCAGGGAGCCTCTCCTCGGGCCTGAGGGCTGTGGCCTCCTCAGGAGGCAGCCTGCCCAGGGGGCCAGTGGGTTTCAGCACCAAGGGAGCAAGGCCTGGAGGGAACATGGAGAGGCTGAGGGCAGGTGGAGGCTCAGGCCTGCTCCTGGGGAGGGGGGCTTCCTGGAGCTGGGGCTGGAGGGCGGCTGTGGAGTAGAGAGGCAGCAGAGATGGGCAGGGCCGGGCGGGGCGTTGATGAGGCAGGAACTGAAATAAATACCAAGGATATGAAAGGGGAAATGGGGTAGCCTCGCCCTGGCCGCACGTGGGGCACAGGCTCCAGCCAAGGGCCTTGCTGTCCTGGGGCTCTTGAGAGACGGACTGTAAGTGCCAAAATACTGGTAGGTGGGCTRCTTGGGCGCCCACAGGGAAGGGGCTGCCCTGTGCTTGGTTCTGGGGTCTTTGAGCCTTGGGAAGGGCAGGAAGACCATCCAGCCTTGCGGTGGCTACCATGCCAGGGCTGGCCACTGGAAGAGCCCAGAGGAGCTGTGTGGGCCCCAGGGCCACAGTGAGGATGAGTGCCCCCAGCTGGCCTTTGCCCTGCTCAGACGTTGGGTTTTCCCAGAGCCTCTGGATTCACTGAAGCTGGACAGGTCAGGTCAGGTCAGGAAAGCCCTCACAGTCACGGGGGAGCTGGCATGGTATGGCACTGCCCTGGAGTGTGGCTCCCTGCTCCCTGCTGTCCCGTCCCCCTCACTGCTCTGGCCCTGCCTCAGTTTACCAGCCCCCCAGCCTGCACATAGGGGTCAGGGGACAGAGCAGGTGAACCCAGCATGGTTTTGCCCTGCCGAACAGGCCTGCCCCGTGTCACGTCCTGGGCTCCCACAGCTGGGAAGGTCTCCCCTCTGCTGGGGCACGAGCCATCYGTGCCCATAGCTCTGAACTGCCCCTGCCCCTGGCCAGACAGCCCTCCTGTCTCCACCCCATAGGCCACCTGGCCTTGGCCTCAGACACCACTTTCCCTCCTGGAGCCAGGTGCCAGCTGCAGCAGTTACAGGTCAGACTCTCAAGGTAGTGGTCAGCAGGGTGCCCGCCAAGTGCCCACTCTGCTCGGCACCTTGCCTGTCCTCYTCCTGTCACCATTCTGTCAGCCGTGGAAGGAGTCACTGTGTGGTCCGGCTGCAGACAGACTCGGGCCCCTGCTCAGTAGCTTCCCCTGGCACAGCGGCAGCCTCACAGGCCGGGCAGGGCATTGCCCCTGATGCCCACCTGCTTCCTCAGCCTCAGGGTTTGTGTGTCTCCCCTCTGCCCCTCAGGAGCCAGCGAGCTTCAGGTGGGCAGGGGACCCCCAGGGCACTAGTGAGCACTGTTCCTTCACTTGCCTAGCGGTTCCCCCTCCTCTTGGCCTTGTCTGTCCCTCCTTGGCACTGGGGGTCAGGTACTTGGTGACCACCCCCACACCTCTCGGCTGCTGTGTGACCCTGCCCCCACCTCCTGGAGCCTCAGGGTCTTTGGTTAGGAAGGGGGAGGGCATCACAGCCCGGGGCTTCTGTGCAGGCAAGGCCCACCCACCGCCACAGTGAAGGCCCAGTGTGTCCCCAGACTGTGGAACACGTGCACACCGGGCATGTGGGGGGCCAGGCAGGCCTCTCTGCTCTGTGGTGGAGCTGGGGGCCCCCTGTCCTCGCCATGGCACCCATGTCCTGATGCCTACCCCTGCTGTACCCAGTGCGTGGAGGCCTCCAGCCTCCCTGCAGCCCACCTGAGCCCTCGGGAGTACAGCACCCGCACGGGGCCTCCCTGCCCGCCTAGGCAGCTCTGGGAGGGATGTAGAGCCGCTGGGACGGGAGCATGCCCCTGGGCACTGAGGCCCTGCCACCGGAGGCTCGGGTGCTTGCTTTGGGCACAAACTCTTCCTGCCTCATGAGAAAGGGGACGGGGCTTGGGGGCTGTGAGGAAGGAAGGAGGTGTGGTCCCCGCGTGCAGGGGTGGCCRGGGATACGTGAGTGCAGTGTGGAGTCTGGAGGCGGCTGCAGACGTTTTCTGCCCTGTCAGGGCTTTGCAGAAGTGGGGGTGCCTGGCGGGGGCCCTGGGCCCTGGCGGATGGCCTGGCTGGCGGGAAGCGCCTGGGCCTGCGCCGGCTGCAGAGCTGGGCTGGAGGCAGCAGAACCCAAAGTGCTGTGTCACTGCAGGCTGCAGCTGTTGCCAGGGTGACGGTGAGTTTCCCACGCCTGCCCTGGCACAGGGGGTGCGGCCCAGGGGTGTGCAGAGCCTGARCTGTCCCTGCCACCTGGGGGCTCTGCTGGCTTCCTGTCCCCCCTGGTGGCCACACTGCCACCCTGCAGTGTGTGGGGGCCTGTGTGTCCCTGGGGAGCCCAGCCTCCTCCCTCCCTGTGACTAGGCCTGTGTCTTTGGCTGTGTGCTGGGGCCCAGAGCGCCTGCCAATGGAGTRTCCAGTGAGCACCTAGCAGGTGGGTGGCAGGCAGGGTATGAGCAGGACCTCCTGTGCAGGGCTGGGCTCATGGCGCCCAGGTTATGAGGGGTCTTCATACCTCCACTCCTCCCTCCTGAAGCCTGGGTCTGCTGCCGGGGAGCCCTGAGTCCGGGMAGCGGTCTGCTGGGCTCCAGCCGGACCCTGCTTTCCTGAGGGCAGTGGCCCTGCTGCCCCTTCGCCGTGTGGCCCAGGGGCTCTCTGGAAGGTGGGGTGTGGCCACACCTTCCTTGCCTCAGCTGTCGGGAAGGCCCTGGGCGTGCTGTCACCAGCCTTCCCAGGGCTGACCTGCTCCCGTGCCCCCCAGCTCAACTCGCCCATGAACCCCGTCAGCAGCAGTGAGGACATCAAGCCCCCGCTGGGCCTCAATGGCGTCCTCAAGGTCCCCGCCCACCCCTCAGGAAACATGGCGTCTTTCACCAAGCACATCTGTGCCATCTGTGGGGACCGCTCCTCAGGTAGGGCTGCCTGGGGGCGGGGAGGAGTGGGCTGGCGATCTGGGGCTGCACCTGGAGGCCCACCTTCGGGCGCAGTAAGGAGTGAGGAGAGCAGGCTGGCAGGGCAGTTGGGGGACTTTGCTGATGGCCAGGTTGATGAGGGCCGACCTCCTGGGGCTGAACCTGGGCCCAGGGCTTCTGCGTTATTCCATGGAACCCTGGTGGCCAGGGAGTGCAGAGTGGCCCCCCTCCAGGGCACAGTGACTCAGGCACAGAGGAGCCACTGGGGGACGCTGGTCCCTGGGGGACCAGGATTTATAACCCCAGAAGGCTGAACCGTCCTCAGAGCAGGGAGCCCAAGACAGGGCCCACACTAAGCCCAGGCTGGGGTCAGGAGACCAGAGGGCCCTCTGTGTGGGAAGGGGCGGCCTCTCAGCAGCACTGCCCCCGCAGGCAAGCACTACGGGGTGTACAGCTGTGAGGGCTGCAAGGGCTTCTTCAAGAGGACAGTGCGCAAGGACCTGACCTACACCTGCCGTGACAACAAGGACTGCCTGATTGACAAGCGGCAGCGGAACCGGTGCCAGTACTGCCGCTACCAGAAGTGYCTGGCCATGGGCATGAAGCGGGAAGGTAGGTGTCACGGCGGGGCGGACCCCCGGCCTCCCTGCGGCCCTTCTCTGCTGATCCCTGCGCGGGGGCCTGGGCACCGAGGCCAGCCCTTGACTCCACAGCCTGCCTGATGGTGGTGACCCAGTTGTCCCCTGTGAGGGCAGAGCATGCCAGGGCCCAGCTTGTGGGCCGTGGGGCCAAGATGGGGTGGAGGTGGCAGTGGGGAAGGAGATGGGGCCTGTGTGGGAAAGCGGGAGACTGCGTGGGCCGGGGTGTCTGCAGCAGGGGTGTGGTGTGTGGTGCAGGAGGCCTGTAGGGTGCTGCTGTTCAGGTTGAAGTGCGGAGGGCACCCTCCAGAGAGCCCCAGAGGGCATCCCACGTCCTCCCGGGGCCAACTCCAGCTCTACCCTGGTGGGCCCACTGGCCCTCAGAGCAGGACTTTGGGGCTGGTCTTATCGACAAGATGCGTGATGGGGCAAATGTAGCAACTCAGGCCACTCCCGGGGTCATAGCAAAATTGTCTGATTGTCCAGCCAGATCCTTGGCCTCCATGTGACCTTGGAGCTGTGCTGCCCTGGCCTCGGGTCTGTGCTGTCCCCTCTTGCCTGCAGCTTGATGGTCCCTTCATGCCAAGCGAGTCCCTGTTAGGGTGCACGTGCCTGTGTACAGGGCGTACGGAGGTGTGTCCACTGCATCCAGGGCCTGCCCTTATGGAGTTGCAGGTGCTGTCCGGGGTCAGGGTCTACTGCTGTGTCCCAAGCACCGTCCAGGAGCCTCCTCTTGCTTCCTCTGTAGCGGCTGCTCCCAGACCCCACATGTGGCCACTCTCGCCTCCTTCCCACCAGCCCCTGAGGGAGTCCCTGAGGGAGACCAGAATCGGTGTGTCCCATCAGGAGTGTCCCAGGTGGTGGCCACAGGGCTGCAGCCCGTGTCCGGCCTGTCCCTTGAGTGTGTGTATCCTTGGCCTTGAGGCCCTGTGTTCTGCAGGGCTCCCTCCTGGAGGCCGTGAGATAGCAGTGCAGTGTGGGCCGCGGGGCCTGGGGCCTGGGGCCTGGGGCGGGCCTCGACTGCGCCCAGCCACCAGGGCCAGGCGCTTCTGGCTGGCCGTGTTTCCTGGAGTGCTTGGAGTGGTCCTGTCTGCTCTTTGCTGTTGAGGTTGGGGTGCTGAGGCCATGGTCACGTGGTGGCCTGGGATCCTGGGCTCTGGCTCTCATCCCGTTTACCAGGGGGAATGCAGGGGAACTGAGTGTCCCTTGGACACTGCGTGCATCAGGGAGGGTCTGGAGGGCAGGTACAGCAAAGTCCCTAAAAAGGACTAAGAACTGGGTCCCTGTTAGGGGCAGGAGGTGAGCCTGGAGTGGGCAGGGGAGGGGTGTGCCCCGGGTGGACCTGGTTTAGCATCTGACCCCCCCCCCCCAGCTGTTGCCCTGGTCCAGCACAGCCCTGGCTGTGGGGTATGAGTGTCTATTGAAAGTGACCAYCAGACAGCCAGGCAGGGCTTCATGGGAAGCTCGGCGTGGACCTGGCCCAGCCTGGGGGCTGGGCATGGCTTAGGTGACACCTGAGGAACGGCAGGTCAGACCTGCGTACCCAGCTGAAGGGAGCAGCGTCTGCCAGGTAGAGGCGTCAGCACACCTGGCACGAGGGTGGGACGGCAGTTCTGAGTCCCAGAGGGGGACCAGCATGCACACTTCTTCCCAAGGCCCCACAGCTGCCCCATGTGTCTGGTGCTGTCATGTCCCTCTGCCTGGTGCCCCAGAGGCCTGGGGGTGTGGACGGTGCCCGTCCCATCCTAGTGAAATGGTCCAGTCTCAGGGTGGGTGGCCTGGAGCTCTGGGCTCCTGCCAGTGATGGGGTTTTGTGCAGGCTTGATGGGTGGGGGTCACTGGGCACCCTGCTGGTGTCCATACACACTCTGCTCACCCCACCTACTCAGTGCCCCAATGCTGTCCACACTTCACAGAAAGAAAAGTAGGGTGCAGAGGCCTGAGGGCCTGGGGAGGTGTCAGAGTTGGCACAGTGCCCATCTGCTTGGTCTGAAGCCCCAGGCCCGTGGGTCATTATTGCCTCCGTTCTGTCTCTGGGCCAATCCTCTGGGCAGTGCGCAGCCCTTGAGACCTGATTTACGGGCCATTAGATAAATACCTGGTCCCGTCAAGGGACCACTTCCCCTTTGTCTCCTGCTAGATTTACGAGCTGTGAACGTGCAGAAGAAACCCTCCTACAAAGCGCTCATGTGCCCCGAACACCAGACCGCAGCTGTGTGGGCAGCTGGAGGAGGGGCTGGCCCCGGGCCTGAGGGACCCTGCTGCCCAGTGCCTGGCCTGTGCGGGTGGGGCACCTCTTACCTGCCTAWATCTGCCTGCATTTAGGTGCTGGGGGGTGGCTTCTGGCCTGGACTGTCCCTGGAGCCCCGAGCTCCTCCTGTGGCTCTCTTGGGCTGACCCAAGAGACTTGGCAGTGGCGGGTGGAGTGTGTGGGCAGCATGGCAGCCCTGGGAAGAGCTGCAGGGCCGGCTTGCCAGCCCAGCGCCCTTGGTCCAGGGCACAGAGGATGTGCGCTGTCGGCTCCAGTCCACTGAGTACCAGGCCTGCTGCAGGTAGTTCTGCTGACTGACCTGGATGGTGCCGGACCCCACACCATCCCTCTGCCACTCTCCAGGTTCGAGGAGCAGCTTGGGGCTGGCTGACCACAGGGAGGGTCTGGCCTCCCTGGGGGGTGGCCCTGGCTGCAGGGCAGGTGCCCCCATCCCTCTGGGGGGATGCCGTAGGATGATAGCATCTGCGTTGGGCGGCTGCAGGGGCATGTGTGTGCGTGCACTGGCGGGACCTGCTCTGTAGCATTCCCGGCTGGGGGGTGGGCAGTGCCCCCAGGGGCCCTGGCTCCTCGCCAGCCTGCGCCCGGGCCTGCTTGCTGGGGCACGTGGTGGCAGGGCTGGGGGCCTGCAGATGGGCCTGGCCTGATAGGGGCACCTGGCTGACAGGCCGTGCTCCCCCCATGCCTCTCCCTGTTTCCTTCCTGCCTCCCTCTGCTTCCTGTGCCCCATCCCCCAGCTCCAGGGGCCTGGGTGTGGAAACAGCAGTGTCTGGCATGTGTGCAAGTGTGTATGTGTGCGCACGTTGCCCAGGTATGGGTGACCCTGTCCGTTTCCTCCACAGGAAGAGTCCAGCTGGGGTGAGCGCTGGCCCTGTTGCCCTCTGGCTTTGTGACACTGGCCTGATTTTGCCTCTCCCTGACCAGTGTTCTCGCCTGTACTGTGGGGGCATCTGCGAGGTCCCCCAGGGTTTGTTAGAGTGTGGTGGAGGGCAGCAGGGGCTTGGCTGGTGGTGGGATCGGGGCGTTGTGGCCACTGTGCATGTGCATGTGTGCACGCTGCTCAGTGGTTGTGACCCACAGGGTCTCCAGCTGTGTGCGAGGCTGGGTCCCTGCAGGGAAGGTATCCCACCCCCTCTGAGGTGGCGGGAGCCCAACTTGCTGTGCAGCTCCTGGATGGTGCCCTCTGCCAGTATCTATTGCTCAGCCTTGAGCAAATGTGGTCAGGACAGAGCATCTCGGTGCTGTCTGGCTTTGGCCCTGCCTGGGGCTGACAGGGGACAGAAGGGCCTAGCTACTGGCAGAGCCCCAAACAGAGGAGGCATCAGGGCCTGGGGGTGCTTGTCCCCAACACCCCTGCTGTTGAGCTGTCTGCCCTCCCAAGACCTGCCGTGGCTGAGGGGCTGCTGCCCCCTGGGTCCTGGGCCAGCGTGTTTCCTCCAGTTGGGAGTCTGCTATGCTGCGGGACAGGCAGCCTGGGCCACAGTCCTCAGGACCACGGGTGGGCGTCTGGCCTCTGTCTTCCTCCTGTCTGCTGCCCRCTGCTCCCCGCCTGCGCTGCGCTCTCTTGGAAGGATAACGAGGCCCTGTATTTACAGACGCCTCCCGCTCGAGGCTCCCCGGCGCCAGCGGAACATAAGTCAAACATGACTGCGCTAAAAGGTGATTGAGCTGGCAAAACATAAATCCCGCTCCTCCTGCCCCCTCCGCCGTCTAGAAATAAAACCATAATATTTATAATGATGCCTCTCTGAGCTGCTGGGGCCCTTCCCGGCTTCAAAGTGCTTCACAAAACATTTGCTAATTAATTCCCGGCCGCCCCCGTGGAGCAGGCAGGTGCCCTGGAGCCCCTCACCCACCCTGCTCCTGGCAACTGGGAATAACCAGCAGCCGGGAGGCCCGTGCTCAGGGCGGCCATTTCCAAGCTCCCCACAACCCAGGACTGTCCGTCCAGGAGAAAACCTCAGAACTGGGCTAACTGGGCTCAGGAGCATGAGGGCAGGAGGCTCTGGGCTGGGCAGGTAGAGCCTGCTTATGGGTCCTTCCTGACAGCAGGCTTTGTCATTGTCACTGTGAAGATGAAGAAGCTGAGGCACAGAGAGGTTGGGGACTTGCTTGGGGGCCACACAGCTGTTGGGGTGGCACAAGCTCTGAGGTCATGGGGCTGCCTGATTCCCGAACCTGCAGCTTTGAGCTGTGAACTCTCTAGAGATGCCAGCCGTACCCCTTTGACTCTCTGAGCCTGGACGTCCCCACCTGGGAAGGTGAGGTGTCTGGGCTGGTTGTGCCTTGGGGCTGTGTGTGGCTCTGAGGCTGGGACTTCTGCCCGGAGCCTGCCGTGGGGCCTGGGGACTCTGTCCGCCTGGGTTTGGCTGCCGYAGCCTGTTCAGGTGTCTGTTCTCTTGGGGGCCGTGGGGATTCCAGGTGTGGAGGGCTCGTCTCTGGGCCCCGGGGCTGTGTCCTCTGTGGCTGGAGGAGTGATCCTTCCGCAGATAGGTGCCTGCTGCATGGAGGGGCCAGGCTGGCCAGCCCTCCCAGTCGGCGGCCAGCTCCACACGTGCAGCTCCCTGCCCCTCCCACCTGCCGTCAGCTTTTCCAGAAGAGCAGGCCTGCACCATGTGAGCTGAGGCTCTGCCTGGCTCCTCGGCCCAGCTGCTGTGTCCTAGGGGTGCTGGGTCAGCCTCCTGTCCCGCGTCCACGTGAGGAAAAGGGCCCTTGCTCAGGCCAGGCCACTGTGTCCTGGAGAGCTGGCCTTGGGGGCAGGGATGCAAGAGGGTGCCTGGGCTGCCTCTGGGGAGCTGGGAGAGGGGCCCCTGCCAGACCCGCCTGCATGGCGCGGCCAGCATGGGAGGTCCACGTGGGGCTGTTGGAGAGCAGGACTACGGGTCCCTCAGCCGGCACACTGGGGAGCCTTGGTGCCCCCAGACCTCGAGGAGTACGGGAGGGTGGGCAAGAGGAAAGTGGCCTCTGAGCACCTGGGTGGGTGGGGTGCCCCTCCCRCCCTCCTCCCTCCTGCTGTCTGTGTTTGTTCCGTCCCTGGGCGGCCAGCGAGAGGACCTGGGCCAGGCAGCCTGGACCAGCGCAGGGTCAGGGATCTGGAGGTGGGGAGGTGGCCGGCTTGCTCAGCTGGTGCCTGGGAGGACCTGAGGTGCTGACTGGTGATGGGCCCAGCCTGGGGTCACCATRCGGGCCTGGGACGCAGTGACTGGGAAAGGCCTTGTTCTGTGGCATCAGGTGGGCAGCGAGGGAGTGGGTTCCCCCAGCTGGCAGCRGGTGCCGGGGGTGTCGGTGCCCGAGCACTGAAAGGACACACAGAAGTTGGGGGGCGTGGAGAGGCCTTGGCTGCAGTGGGGAGCGCGGGAGCCTGACGGAGGCGGCTCTGGGGACCCCAGCCCCTGTTGCTGTCCCGACTCCTGTGAGTCGCTTTGCCTCTGAGCCTCGCATCCCTCATCTGTGAGGAGTGGTGGACATGCCCAGGCTCTCGGCTGTTGGGTGGAGCCTCAGCTGGGGTCCGCAGGCCCGGGCAGGACAGCAAGGCCTTCTGCATGTCTGAAGGGAACCGCCGGAAGCTGTAGCCGTTTCTGTCCAGGCACATCCAGACCCTCGCCTGCCCCAGGGGCACCCCTGGTGCTGGACAGGCTGGCAGAGGGGGCGGGATGGATCCCCAGGTGCCCAGGGTGGGTGGCTGTGGATGGCAATCCCAGGAGGGTGGGGAGGAGGCAGAGCCTCTAGGTCCTTAAGGGCAGCAAGGCTCCTGCCTGAGCCCCTTCACTGGCCTCTTCCTCGGGGGTGGCTGGAGGCTGGGCCACTGTGGGCTCAGCTGGGCCTGGCAGGACCCTGGGATCTAGGTTCTTTCGCCTGTGGGCATTGCTGTGGTTTATCTTACTGTGCTGCTGCAGACCCCCAGCTGGGGCTGCTTACCAGGGCGATTGGCGGGCATCGGCATGTGGCTGGCGGGGAGCAGGAGGTCCCAGGCCTCATGGCATGGGGGCAGGGCAGAGCCACGAGTCCCGAGCGTGGCTGGCGGGGCAGGGCCCATGCCCTCCCTCTGCAGAGCCCAGTGTGGGGGCCGTGGGCCTGCCTTCATGCTCCCCTGGCACAGTGCTGACCCATTTGCCCTGGCATTGGCTCCTGGCCAGCGTGAGCACCGCTGCAGGTCAGGAGCAGTCTCCCCTCTGGCTACGGGCCTTGGCACGGGTCATTTCCTGCCGGAACTTCCCTCTCTGCTGTATTTCCTCCTTGGATCTCCTTGCCACTTCTTCCAGGAAGCTTCCTGGCCTTCCCCAGGCCCACAGACCACCATCTCTGATTTGGGGACCTGGGAACAGCCCGCTCTGGGCCTCAGGCAGGCTCCCTGCCGGTGTGCACGGGGTGCAGTGAGTTAATGAGAGGTGGGCTTGGGTTTCAGAGCACCCAGCCGAGAGRCCGGGCACTGGGCCAGGCTGTGCACTGCCCGTCTCCCTCACCTGGCCCCGGGCCTGCTGGTGTCATCCGCACACTGGCTCCAAGTTGGCACGGCCCAGCCCTGGCCACGGCAGGTCCTGGGAGCCGCTGGCTGGCCCGGGTGAGGCYGGTGACAGCACCTCCCCATTGCAGCTGTGCAGGAGGAGCGGCAGCGGGGCAAGGACCGGAACGAGAATGAGGTGGAGTCAACCAGCAGCGCCAACGAAGACATGCCAGTGGAGAAGATTCTGGAAGCTGAGTTGGCTGTCGAGCCCAAGACGGAGACCTACGTGGAGGCGAACATGGGCCTGAACCCCAGCTCGGTGGGTGTCCGCCTCTGCAGGGCGGCTCGCTGGCCCCTTTCCTGTGGTTGCTTGCTTACTGCCCCTGAGCCGTGGCCCTCATCCACCTGTGTGGCCTCTGCCCAGCCAGGAGACCCTGTGAGCCCCTCRACCCTTCCCTATCTCCATCCCCAGTGGGGCTGGGCCCAGGCCAGGAGGCAGCTCTGGCCCTGCAGCCACGTCCTGTGTCCCCAGCCATCTCTGAGGGACCTTGGTCCTGGGTTCACTGTAGGGTTTGGCCTGTCTGGGTCCCTGCTGGAGGGTCCCTGCCCCATGCCCTCAGAGAAGGCATGAGGAGCTGAGCCCAGGAGAGAGAGTCCAAAGAGGTGGGCCCTGAGGCTGGCTCTGCCCGCAGCTGCGTGGCTCTGGGCAAGGGACTTCCCTGAGCCTCCCCATCCCCTGTCCTCGGGCAGGAGGGCACAAGTGCCGTCAAGGGGGCTGGCGGCCAGCAGTCACTGTGATGCGGTTAATGCAGAAGGAGCTCCGTGGTCTCCAGCTGCTGTCCTCATGCTGACTGCCCATAGGATTGGCCTTGGCATGGCCTTCCCCTGCCTTCCTGCCCCCCCCCGTCCCCTTTGTCCCTACAGCCACCAGGCCAGGACAGGGAGGCTCTCGGGGCTGTCCCTGCCGTGCCCAGGGCCTTGGTGTCAGACCTCTAGCCTCTCATTKCTTCCCCTGGCCTCACTTGAAATAGCCTCTCCTGCTCTTTGTCYCTCCCTAGACAGGCACAGAAGTCCCCAGGCAGGACTTCTGTGCCTGTCCTTCCTGGGGCACAGGCACCTGCCCYGCTCTGGGCACTGTTGGTCCCCACGAGCTCACACTGGTGGGGACCCGTGTGTTATGGGATTCCTGAGGAGGTGGCTCACTGTACCCCCTGTTGGTTGGGTGATGCTGATTGTTGAGTCCCAGTATGGAGCTGGGCGCTGACCCTCAGGCTCCCCTTGCCTTGGGCCCGTGGTTGAGCTGGCTCTCACGGGTCCCACATCGGCCACAGGCGTGGCCAGCATGGTGTCGAGACATCATCTGGATCTCTGTTAGGTTGAGGGCTGGGCCAGAGCCCTGAGGTCAGCTAGAGCCCTCATCCAGGCAGACCTCAAGGTCACCCTGGCCTCTCCCCCTCAGCTCACACGTCTTTCCCCTTTGTGCTGGCTGCGCCTATTGGTGCTTCACTCCCTTCTGCCCGGGACCTTTGCACTAGCTGCCTGGAACATGGTCCTTCTGCTCCTCTGGCTGCAGTCTCAGGGCCCTGCCCGAGCCCTCATCAGTATCCTTTTCTGAGACCAGCTGCTGTTCYAAGGCTCAGAGTGCCTGTCCCTTCCTTCGTGGTCCTGGCACAAGGTGACCACGTAGTGAGTTGTTGCCATCCTGTGAGGCCATGGGGGTGGAGTGCAAGCCGTGCCTCCTGCCCAGCCCTGGTTGGGGACCGCAGCCCTGCCCTTCCCCCAGTCTGAGTACAGCTGCTGTGCACATGCCGGCTCTGTGGCCACTGCCCCCCATGGTGGGCCTCCCAGTGCCCCAGGTCCACAGCCACCCTGACCTGCGGGCTGTCCCTAGCTGGGACTCCTTCCTTCCAGGAATGGTCCCGTGGAGCAGTCCCCACCTGCTCCGACCCTCGACAGCTCTGCCTGGTCTGTGGTCCGTGCCCACACCCCTCTGCTCTGGGAGGGAGGGATGGGGGGAGGGTTGAGATGGAGCAGAAACTGAAGGAGGTGGAGGCTGAGAAATCCCRCCATCTGCCCTTCCGGCAGAGTTGGTGCCTAGAGCCGCACGGAGGCTGCTCAGGGCCAGGCTGTGCCTCCTGTGGACGAACCACATCCCCTGGCTGGCCTTCTTGTCTGACCTCGTGCTGGACACCCTTTGTATACTGGCCTGGGCGCTCTTTCTGTCAGATGGGCCAACTGGCCCTGGGAGGGGGCTCAGCAGCCTCAGCTCGGGCAGCTGGCGTCCCCCCTRTGTGGCAGGGCCTGGGTGGTCCCATCGATGCTCCTTCAAGGCTGGAGGTGGCAGCTCGTTAGGTGTCTGCTGCTCAAYATGGCTCAGAGGGGCAGCCCTGGCCTGAGCCGCACAGCGGGGATGGAGCCAGCAGCCCTCACAGCCCCTGCCCCCCAGAGACCCCCAGGCCTGGCCCTGCTGGGACCCAATCTGAGCCTCCCCTCCTCCCGCCACCTGTTCCCCAGCCCCGTGTGCCCCTCCTGCAAAGGCCCCGACACTTAGGACTGCTCTTCCCTTCCTGGAGGCAGCCTGCCACCCTGGGCCCCAGGAGAGCCTCCAAGGGGCTAGCCGTCCAGCACCTGGGCAGAGGCCAGTTCTCTGGGTGAGGCTTCCGAGCAGGGCCGCCTGCTGCTGGGCTTCGATGCAGAGTTGCCTTCTTCAATCCGGCGTGGCCGCCTGGGGCCTCCTCTCCACCACGCYCCATGTACCTCTCGGGCCGTCCTGCAGCAGATGGGCAGTGAGGACTGCCGTCCAGCCTTGTGTCAGGAGGGGAGGCCCAGGCTGAGGCACAAGCTGGGCACCTCAGGTTGGGGTGCTAGGCAAGGGCCTGGTGCCTAGTGAGGGCTGGGGCTCCCAGAGGGAGTGAGCGAGGGGGCCGTGGGCAAGCCCCTCTCGGCAGGGGGCCCCACCTCTACAAGCCGAGTCCAGGGAGCCCTGTGATGACACTCCCTCCCGGCCCCCTGTGTCCCCCAGCCCCTCCTGGCCCACAGCCTCGAGGTGAGTCGTCATGGCCACTTGAGCAGACCCTGTTATGTGCCCTGGGTGTTTAACTGCGCATCTCTGCTGAGCAGAGAGTCTCTGTCCAAGGGAGCCTCGTGAAGGCCCCTCCTGCCCAGGCCCTGGCTGCCGCGGCTCTGAAGGAAGGGGTCCCCTCCCGGGAGCTTCAGGGGTTCCATCCTGCAGCACCATAGCCCGGTGCCTTGGCTCCCTTCCCCGCTCCCCCCACTAGGGACAGGAAGCTGGCGGCCCCTCCRGGCAGAACTCCTGGCAGGCATCTGCTGGCCCCTGACCTCCACCTGGGCCTGTGTCTGAGCTAAGACAGTGTCCACCCCGGCTTCCACCTGTGTCTGGTAGAACTGGACTCCCGTGTCCCCTCGACCACAGTGAGGGGCTGGCCCACCCAGCTGCGCCCTCCTCTGTGACCCTGCCCACTCCTGCTCAGCACCCTCCTGGAGCTGGGAGGGACACAGAGGTCCTGCGGGCTGTGTGAGCTTCCTGTGGCTGTGGTGACGAATCACTGTGACCCAGCAGCTCACAGCAGCACAGGTTCAGAGGGCCACGGCTCGTGGGCTCAGGAACCCAGAGTCAGCCGCACTGGGCTCGTCAGGGGGTCAGCAGGGCAGCACCTGGAGGCCGTCATGCTCCTTGGCCCCCGTTCAAGCCAGTGGTCTTTTGTCCCCTTTGACCTCTGCTTCCATCCTGATGGGTCCTCCTCTCACTCTGACCCACCTGCCTTCTACAAGGATTCTTGTAGTGACATTGGGCCTGTCCCCATAGTCGAGGGTCATTTCCTGTCCCTAGGACCTTGATGTAATCCCACCTGCAAAGACCCTTTTCCAGGATCAGGACCAGGGCCTCTCTCGGGCTATTGCTGAGTCAGCCCTGGGGCAGGGCCTGGTCCAGGCTGGCTCTGTCCACGTGCTGGCCGCATGGACCTGAGCACCGTGCCCTTTCTCCCTCACAGCCCAATGACCCCGTCACCAACATCTGCCAGGCAGCTGACAAGCAGCTCTTCACGCTGGTGGAGTGGGCCAAGAGGATCCCACACTTCTCCGAGCTACCCCTGGACGACCAGGTCATCCTGCTGCGGGCAGGTGAGGGGCCAGACCTGGCCAGGGCTGGGGTGGGGGCAGCAGTGGTGCGGGCGTCACTCCTGTAGGGAGAGCCCTGGGGCCTCGCCTCCCTGCCCTCCCTCCTCGGGGGGTCGTGACGGGGTCTCAGCGGCCACCTGAGAGGCGAGGGCTGCTGGGGTCTGCCCACCGGGCCTCTCATGCTTCYCATAGCCTCCCCCACTCTGGGCCGGGGCACAGCACTGGTGTGACATGGGGCTGCGGTCAGGCTAGCTGTGGGCACACGACCAGGGAGGTCACCCGGGGCTGTCTCCTCCTCTGTCAACGGACAGGAGGGATGTGCTGACGGAGGCCAGCTTTCCTGAGTGCCCAGCAGGGAGCCCAGGTTCCTGCAGTGGCCATGGTGTTGACGACTACCCAAGTCCCCCTGAGGTCCTGCTGTCCTACCGCTTCAGCCACCTGCTGCCCCATGGAGGGTGCTGTTACCAACCCCAACCTGAAGGGCCTTGGCCAGCTTAAGGCAGGTCCCTGGTGAAAGGGAAGGAAAAAGCCACCAGAGATGGCTTCCTGTGAAGCACAGAATGTTCTGGAAGTTACCCAGTCAGGGGCAGAATCGCACAGGCCGACCCCCACCTCCCTCTTAAAAGGACTCCGGTGCTCTGTTGGGTCATCCACAYGAGCCAGGATGGCCTTCTGTCTCAGGCCCCCGACTACACTTGCGGCCCCTGGCCCCCGGGGCTGGGTGTGCAGCCCCCACTTTTGTGGGTGCAGACTTCCTTAAGATCTAGTCAGCGTTCTGCCTGGCAAGGTCGGGTCCACCCCCAGCTCTGCCCTCACTTTCGGGGCTTCTCCCTCCTCCCTGGCTTCAGAGCCCGCCTGACCCAGAGGTCCTTGGAGGTACCCAGTGGCCAGCTGGGGCATCCCTCGCAGAGAGGAGTTGGTCTCTGCTCGCTGGCCTGGAACACCAGGACAGCTGGGTTCTTCTTTGGGGCCTGCAGGTCTTTGTCTGGTGGGCAGACCATGAGGCCTGTGTGGCAGAACGGGGTGTTGGGGACGCTGGCTGCTGACAGCTGTGGGCAAGGCTGTCTATAGGCAGCGTGCTGGCCCTTGGTGTGTCCCCCTCTGTGATATCCACCTTCAGCCATGAGGCACTGGGTGCCTGTGTGGCCCTTTCCTCAGCCCAGTTCCTGGGAGATCTTCATGGTGCCTCGCCTCTGGACGGGTCTCCCTGCCCAGCCTCCCGCACTGARGCTCCTTGCTGGCCCGCCTCGGGCTGCCCCGTGAAGCTCAGACCTGGCTCTGTGCCTGCCCCCAACGTGCCACTGGTTTGGGGTACTTGGTGGGGTGGCTGAATCCCAGAGCCAGAGTTGGACCACCTGGGTGTGAGTGCAGCCCTGCAGCCCAGGAGGGTCCGACTCCACTGCATCACTGTGCCTGTCTGTTCCATGAGTGTCCCTTGAGGGGCTGGCGGTGTCATGCCCATCAAGCAGAGTGGTGGCACTTGGGGCCCTGCTGCACTGCCAGATGGCCCCCCAGGCCCTGCAACAGCCCCRGGGTGTGGGGCCTGCTCAGCTGGAGCCAGCAGAGTTCGAAGCCCAGGCTACCAGGGGCTGGATCTGGTCAGCCCCAGGACAAGGTCTGGCTGGCTGGGGCTGCCTGAAAGGTCAGGGTGCGGGTTTCAGGCCGTGGTTCTGGATTCTGATGGGTCGCCACTGTCCTGAGAGCCCGTGGGGACCTGGGGAGATCCTGGCCTGCCTGTGCTCAGGGCTGACTTCATGTGCGTGTCCACTGCTTCAAGGCGAGGCTCCGTCTTCGGACAGGTGCCCACTTCCCCTGTCCAGGGGACATTGAGGATCAGTGTAGAATAGTCTTGGCTCCTGCACAGAAGCACCCGGCACTGTGCCTCTCCTGTTTGGCCAGTGGGTGGACCGAGGTGGGCAAGGGTTACATATGGCTTCCAGGCCCTGTCCTCCCTCCCCCCTTCCTCTGGGGCCCTACCCCAGGCCGTGCGTTCGGAGACCGCAATCCGCTCCAGTCTGGTCTGCAGAGGGTCCTGCTGTGCAGGCGCCTCCTCTGGTGGAGAGTGGGCTCGAGTGAGGAGGGTCTGGCTGACCTGGCAGGGGGTAGTTCGGCCATGGGGACAGTACACCACTTTGTACCTCTGGTCTGCCAGAGATTAGGGCCTCAGGCCATCTGGTCAGCGGGAACTTCCCCTAGCCACAAGTATTGAGGTGTGAAGTGGGGGTGGGGCTTGTCTCCAAGTTCCCTCAAGGSGTCCCTGAGGCAAGTGTGCAGAGCACTCCTGGAGGCTGACGSGTGGGGAGCAGGCGTGGCCTGTGGGAGCCCATCTCCCGGTGCAGGCCCCCGCTGCCTTTCCCCTCTGTAAAGCAGGCCAGCGGTTGYTTCATAGGAGTGCAGTCAGCATGTGGTGGGACGGGCCACGGGATAGGCCAGCGTGAGGCCCAGAGCCTGTGACCACGCGGGTGTCTCTGTGGACAGTTGTGGTCATGGGTGTTAAAGCTGGTAAGTCTCAGCTTACAGGCGCCGTGGAAGTCCAGCATCTCCCCCAYGCCCTCTTGCTGTCGTCCACTGTGTCTGTCGGTGTGGAACCTGGTGCCAGGAGCGTGTTTCCCTTTAATGCTGGGCCATTCTGTGGTGATGCACGTGGCACACCTTGGTCCCCAAGAGCTGGCAGCAGCGGTCCCTGTTTGTCCCAGAGGGAGTCCTTGGGAGCTGTCCCGCTTCCAGGCACGAGCATCCTGCACGTGCAGAGGCAGCTCCTGCGTCTGCTGAGGGAGGCGCTGGACGCAGGGCTTCTCGGCTGTCACCTGCCCGTGTGCACACACTCAGGTGCCYGGGAGCCTCTTTTCTGCCGAGAGCACTCTGTGGAGTGAGGGTTCCATGGAGCCTGCTTTGGGAATGCTGGTCTGGGTTTGGAAAGGATGGTCTGTGACGTGCTGCTTTGGGGTCTGCCTGGGGACTAAGGACAGGGCAGGCCAGTGGGCCTGGAGACTGCCTGACTGTGCCTCCTCCCACAGGCTGGAACGAGCTGCTCATCGCCTCCTTCTCCCACCGCTCTATTGCCGTGAAGGATGGGATCCTGCTGGCCACCGGGCTGCACGTCCACAGGAGCAGTGCCCACAGCGCAGGGGTGGGCGCCATCTTTGACAGGTGGGGTGGGCGTGGAGTCTGGCTGCCTCAGCCCCCTCAGCACCCAGCTTGGCACCACTTCTGCTTAGGAGAGTCACAGACACCAGCCGGTGCACCGAGTGGGGTGGGGGGAGGTCCTGGGTCAGTGTGGTGTCCGGGGTGGCTGATGGCCACCACTGATGTTGCTGCTCATCTGCGACCAGCTCTTCCTTTATCACCCTGTGCATTCACTGGGAGAAGGAAAGCGRACTGTCCTGTAAGGCCAGCAGGCGCTGTCACCTTGCGGTTCTGTGAACATGCCGCTGAGCTTGGTGCGTCACAAACAGTGCCGTGATGGTGGTGCTATTGCAGCAGGCGCATCTTGTGGCCCGACCCGAGGATAAGCACACAGTGCAGTTGTCCCAGGATGTTGCTCCTCACCTTCCAGGGGGGTGTGGCTACACCTCTGCATGTCCTCGGCTGTGGCCCAGTGGACACACTCAGGGGCAGTGCTGGTTGGAGGGCTGCCCTTCTGCGTCGGGCGGGTTCCATTGGGTCACTCTCCTGGAATGGTGGGCCTGTTTACACTAGCAGGCCCTGCTCTGGCCAGCCCCCACCTGTGAACCCAGAGGGCCAGCGCCAGACCCCGGCAATCTGGGGGCCTGTGTGTCAGCTTCAGCTCCTGGAACGGGCCAGGAGRAGCAGGCCAGGGGAAGCGGGAGGCCCGCAGCCTGTGGGAGCCCTGGGTTTAGAGGTGAGCGAGCACTCTCCCAGCTGAGGGAGACGTTTGGGAGAGTGCCCAGCAGCCGTGGGCCCCGGGTGTGGCAGGCGGAGAGGGCTTGTGCCTTACCCTGGTCTGCGCAGTGCKTGAGGCTCTACTGCAGGACTCTTCGGGGCCTTTAGCAAGCTTACGTCAGGAGGCCACAGGAGGCCCACTTAGGCTTCATTAGAGGGGCCTATTCCCCCAGGCTCCCGAGGGGTCCCTCTGGGCCACCTCCCTCTGCCCCCAGTGGTTCTGTCCTCATCAGCTATTTCCASTTTCTGCATATGATGGTTTTGGGGACAGGGGCAGCCACTAGGCTGGAGAGTCCCCAGGTCCAGTGACTGAGATAGGCCAGTGGGATCCAGGATCAGCTATGGCTCTCAAAGGGACCAGGAGGGTTGAGGGCAAGTCTGAGCGTGCCCAAGAGGCTCCAGGGAGGGGCCCACCTTGCTGAGGAGGCCGAGTGGGACAGTCTCCCCTCTGGAAATGGACAGCTGGTGACAGGAAGCTATACCTCCTCCTCCATGGCTCCTCCCTTCCCATGGCTCCTTCCCCTGTGGCTCCTCCCTCCTCCATGGTTCCTCCATGGTTCCTCCTCCCCTGTGGCTCCTCCCTGTCTATGGCTCCTCACCATGTGGCTCCTCCTCCCCTGTGGCTCCTCCCTCCCCATGGCTCCTTCCCCCCCCCGGGCTCCTCCCTCTCTATGGCTCCTCCCCTGTGGCTCCTCCTCCCCTGTGGCTCCTCCCTGTCTATGGCTCCTCACCATGTGGCTCCTCCTCCCCTGTGGCTCCTCCCTCCCCATGGCTCCTTCCCCTGTGGCTCCTCCCTCCTCCATGGTTCCTCCATGGTTCCTCCTC